CGTCGACCATTACATACCATTAAAATGTTTAAGGACACAGTGTTTGTGACGAGCGTATTGATCCCCCCCCCACCCCCCCAAGAAATTAAGAGCGTCGTATAAAATTTTTTACATCCACGTGTAACTTCAGCAGCATAAAACGAATCTTGAAACAAGCCGGCGGCAACTTGCCAACGCTGCCGCCTTCATTGTCCAGGTGGCTCTTGACGTGAGAGCCGTTCAGCTCAATGGGCCTTGCCTGTCTCAATTAGGGTCCTGTGTCTGATGGGACAATTCAAATCGTCGCTTTGAAGAAATTATATGAAAACTGAGCAAAAAGCTTCGTCATCTGAAGACGACGACACTATTATTGCACGAGTACCACAAGTACCACTCGCCTATGCCGACTCTTAATTATGTACGTTATATGTTATAAATATCATTCAATTTCCTAGAAAGCTAATCAGTGGACATGAATGTGCCCGATCATGTCTGATCTCCGAAGCCAAGTAGCTTTGAGCCTGGTTAGTACCTAGATGGGAGACTACCTGGGTGCTGTAGACTTGCACTTGGAGGTGGTCATTCCAGAAATGTGTTCTTTAATCGATCTGTGCAAAGCTCTGAACACAATGTGCGCAGCAGAGCTTGGAGGATGTTGAGTGTTAGTGCAGAGGCTTACACAACGTACTATGAAACCGAAAACTTGAGTTAAATTCCTGTCTGTCGCTAACATAATTAGCACGGTTGCCTACGTACGGTGTGACAGAAGTTCAGCTTATAAACGTACATAATGTGCAGAGCTTTCTACGTGGACTTCCTATGGGTGCTCTGGTATTCTTTCTTAGCCCGATGTATGAGCGTCTTGATGAGAGAACATTTCTGTGCGGGGTGATGGTGTGACTGCATTCAGATGAATCCCTGCAGTCACGAAAGCTTTAAATCGAAAAATACGCGTGAATTGTGTATTTTCTTTCGGTAAACACAAGTGGCGCTCTATCCCTCTATTTAGAAAACAGGAGGATTTCTCGACAAATCTGGCCGTCGCGCTGATGATGCGAGTGTTGATTACTGGCAAAACGTCGTACTCAGATTGTAAATATTGTGGCTTTGCTCTCCAACACACCGGTGTGCTGTACTAGTAACGAATTGGCCACGTTCTGTTTAAGTGACAGCCCTTACTAGTTGGCTGTGTCGGGTGGTGGCGGGTTTAACGACATATTTATATTTACGCGATCTAACCCCAAAAAAACCCTGTATTATACTATTCAATCTGTTAACCTGTCAGTTGCAGGTATAAGCCATTGTATTACAATCACTTTTACAAATTTCCAGGATAAATTCAATAAAAGGTAATCATGGCCGATATATTTCAGTTGATGGAGGGAAGTGGGATTTGTTTAGCACACTGTGCTATGAAGCTAGCAACCTGAGGTTGATTCCTGGCCATGATTAACATGAACGTGAATGATAACTCAACTGGTCTTGGGCCTATATATATATGGTTTCCACCTCTGAGGTACAACATGTAGATGTACCGTCTTGAGCGGCATAATTTCATGGAACTGACAAAAATTGGGAATTTTAATATCCTGGGAAGACGTCAGGACCGCAACTACCTCAACATGAAGATTTCCTGAAGAAAAACAAAACCAGGACAGGTCACAAACCCTTCTTAAGTCTCCTCAAGACTAGTTAACCAAACCAGTGTGGTTAAATATGGTAGGTAAAAATAAAACAATCCTATTACCAACACAGTGACTGGAAAAACACATTTCTGTTGTTGAGATGTATTCCCAGCGATGAAACCAATGGGCTGTCACATTGATAATGAGCGTGAAATTGGACCTCATTGAAAAATTAAGGAAGGAAATTACTTTGATTTGTTACTCAGCTTCTTTCACAATTCCCAACGCCTTGCTTTGATTTTTTCCCCATAGGCAATTTAGCGCACAATAGGACGTAATTTTTGGTCTCTTATATTTCCTTTCAACAATGATGACTCATCATTGAGCACTCGTTTGTCGTGCAGACACATGTAACTATAGATACGTAGTGTACTGCTGCAGTTCGGGGGTAAGTTTCGAACTTTTCATTTGGGACACAATTAGTAGGGATACTACAATTCATCCACCCCATGTCGTACATGGACCCAGACCAAACGTTGCACTTTATTGCTACCATCTGTGATAGAAAAGCTTGAGATGTACCAAGATCTTCAAATTGATAATCAAAGTAAATTATGCAAATATGATGATTGCTTGTGGTGCGATCTAAACGTCGTGATTTAATTTATTTATTTCTATACCTACGTGACTTTACCGAAAGAACCAAAGAGTATGGATCCATGCAGTCACGAAAAACTCAAATCTAGATTGAGGGGGGTCAAAAATCGTCCAAAATCGCGTGATGTCATTTATGGACGGCCCCCAACATGGCTGTGAGATATTTACACATTGTTGCGTCTTGTTCGAAACTTGTGGTTTTCCAGCCCACGCTATATTTCATTATTTACAGATTTGATTGATGTCTCAAAACCAGAACTGTAATATAACGGGGTCTTTAATGTCCATTTATTTTTTTGCAACAGAATCTGCGCTTGGGCAATTCTCAGAATACAATTATCCGGTAACTCTGGTGAGAAACAGCGTAAGTTTAACATGTAAGCCAGGGGTCGGGAACCTTTTTGACTGGGAGCGCCATAAAAGCCCAATATTTCTAAATATATTTCATTGAGAGCCATATAGTAATTTTAACGTATAATAAATTAAATATGTCTTACTTTTAATGCGACTTCTGGTGCTGCATGGTTTTGCTGATGGCCTTGTAGTCTGGTTCATACGACGTGGCGAGGTTGAGCTTTGAGCAGGCGTGACCCGTGAAATTTATCTTCAAACCTAATTTCTGTTTACTTTAAAATGACACGGTATTATTAAGCAATATCACAAGTATTTTAAAATCAGTTCCAAACAGATTTTTTTTTTCAACTCAAAAATTGTCTGGGAGCCATATGCCGTCACTGGAAGAGCCATATATATGGCTCGCGAGCCATAGGTTCCCGACCGCTGATGTAGGCTTTCGCAACCAATACTAATCATAATGGAGTTTTTTTTGGGTTAGATCGTGTAAATATAAATGTGTCGTTAAACCCACCACCACCCGAGTAAGGGTTGTCACGTAAACAGAACGTGCCAATTCGTTACTACTACAGCCCACCGGTGTGTTGGAGAATAAATCCACAACACATTCATGGCTTTATATTCTTGGTTCTTTCGGTAAAGTCACGTAGAAGGGAAATAAAAAAAACCAATATTATTTATTATTATTATTTCCCTTCTACATGACTTTACCGAAAGAAACAAGAATATGAATCCCCGCAGTCACGGAAGCTTTAAATCGAAACATTCATGGCTGTCGCCTGATGAGGCTGGTTATAATTACCGGCTAAACGTCTCGAATTGTAAATGTTGTGGTGGGTATTACTCTCCTACACACCCGTGTGCTGAACAAGTAACTAATTGGCATGTTTTGTTCACGTGACAAACCTTTACTTATTGACTGTGTCGGGTGGTGGTGGGTTTGACGACACATTTATATTTACGCAACCCCACCCCTCTATTCTGGAGAAATGAACTATTCATTAATTCCAGATGGCTCAGCAGTTCACCATGACCTGTCCATGCTTTCAGTTCTACCTCGTGTGCAACTTACAGGGAGGGTGTGGTCCAGATGTCCTGTGACCCCCATTAAAAAAAAAATATTGTTTTAAAGTGAGATTTATTTAATACAGAAATTGATATGCAAAGTGAAAAACAAATGTGAGGATAAATTAATTGGGGGGGGTGGGGGGGGGGTGTCACAAGACATCTGGACCACGTTGTGTGTGTGGGGGCAACAAGGCGCAGCCCTGCAATTGCTCAATCGCGCCCCTGCTGGAGGAAAGGGGCATCTTCTTAGGTTTTTTTCGGTAAAGTCACGTAGGTAAAAAATTTAAATTAATAAAAGTAAAATAAAATCAAATAAAAATCACGACGTTTCGGAGGCAACACAAGCTTCCGTCTTCCGAAACGTCGTGATTTTTATTTGATTTTATTTTACTTTTATTCATTTACATTTTTTACCTACGTGACTTTACCGAAAAAACCTAAGAATATGAATCCTTGCAGTCACGAAAGCTTCAAATCTAGAAGAAAGGGGCATCCACTAGAGGAGGGAGTTGTAGACGAGCCTCTCTGGAGGGTACATTGGTCTACTCTTCCACGCGACCATCATCTGCTTCATCAGTGTGTTGTGTTGCGAATGATTGTTGTGCATTTGAATAAGGGGCCGTCCATAAATGACGTCACGCGATTTTGGACGATGTTTGACCCCCCCCCTCATCGTCACATGACGTCACAAAGAGTCAGACCCCCCTCAAATATGACGTCACAAAGCTCTGCCCCCCCCCCCCCCCCGAAAATAAAAACATGCTTCAAATCGCTTTAAACTATTGTCATTGTAGTGCGTATTTAATGTGGCGCTGCACTCTGATGTTGTAGGAGAAAACATTTATTAAAAAGTCGATTTAATTAAGTTGAACGTGTTGTCTATATTTATTTAAAGTTGCTAATTTTGATGTGACGTCACGCATCGTCACAAATGTCTGACCCCCCCTCCTAAGGGCAATTGCCCTAAAAAAAACTTTGCCTCATTATATACATATTTTATACATTTAAGGCTGCCGTATTTATCGACGGATGTCTTGAGTAAAAAAAAATTGTATTATTGTATGACGGCCACGGTTGTATTTGTTTTCATTTACGAAACGCGATCTCACTGCTCTGCGGCTTCCGTAGCGGGCTTCGCTCTTGAATCGCAGAGACGCCTCTCGCAAATACCCTACAACGGATTAGCATAGAGGGGTCTCCCCCCACTCCGCCATTGGTCAGAGCCGACCACGTGGCGGTGGCAGCGCGGCTTCTGATTGGCTCGTTGCGCTCCCCCCCGTCCGTTCCCGCGCTTTTTGCTAAACCGCGTGGGAAATCTAAACCGCATTGCGCGCCACCCCTACACCGCTCAAAGCCAAACGGGAAATTCGACGAAAGTTTCGCGATTTGTACAATTAGCGTTAAAACATTTAAACATTAAATTTTATCCCACCCTCCCCCCCTCTCTCTCTAAACCGTACTACCTGAAGGTGTTTTGCAAACCGGTGAAGAGAATCGTGTACGTTGTGCCCCCCCCAGTATGTGTTAGGCTCCTCGTCTTGCGAGTCACTGGCGGTGAATGAATTGTCGAGTTTGGAAGATTTAAAGAAGCGGGCTTTTACAATGGGCGACGCGTAAGTTTCTCTCGTTACCGGCGGCGATCACGATTTCTCTCCGCCGCCTCGAGGCCTCCCCACGAGTCGTTGCCACGATCTCAGGCCCTCGATAGTTGCAGCATTTACACATCTCGCTCCTCATACCACGTGACTGACCTCATACCACGTGACTGACCTCGCTCCTCATACCACGAGACTGACTTCGCTCCTCATACCACGTGACTGACCTAGCTCCTCATACCACGAGACTGACTTCATACCACGTGACTGACCTCGCTCCTCATACCACGTGACTGATCTCATACCACGTGACTGACCTCGCTCCTCATACCACGAGACTGACTTCGCTCCTCATACCACGTGACTGACCTCGCTCCTCATACCACGAGACTGACTTCATACCACGTGACTGACCTCGCTCCTCATACCACGAGACTGACTTCGCTCCTCATACCACGAGACTGACTTCGCTCCTCATACCACGAGACTGACTTCATACCACGTGACTGACCTCGCTCCTCATACCACGTGACTGATCTCATACCACGTGACTGACCTCGCTCCTCATACCACGAGACTGACTTCGCTCCTCATACCACGTGACTGACCTCGCTCCTCATACCACGTGACTGAACTCGCTCCTCATACCACGTGACTGAACTCGCTCCTCATACCACGAGACTGACTTCGCTCCTCATACCACGTGACTGACCTCGCTCCTCATACCACGTGACTGAACTCGCTCCTCATACCACGTGACTGACCTCGCTCCTCATACCACGTGACTGAAACTCGCTCCTCATACCACGTGACTGACCTCGCTCCTCATACCACGTGACTGAAACTCGCTCCTCATACCACGTGACTGGACCTAGCTCCTCATACCACGTGACTGAACTCGCTCCTCATACCACGTGACTGAACCCCGCTCCTCATACCACGTGACCGACCTCATACCACGTGACTGATCTCGCTCATACCACGTGACTGGACCTAGCTCCTCATACCACGTGACTGATCTCGCTCCTCATACCACGTGACTGGCCTCGCTCCTCATACCACGTGACCGACCTCGCTCCTCATACCACGTGACCGACCTCGCTCTTCATACCACGTGACTGACCTCATACCACGTGACTGACCTAGCTTATACCACTTGACTGACCTCGCTCCTCATACCACGTGACTGACCCTCGCTCCTCATACCACGTGACTGATCCCGCTCCTCATACCACGTGACTGACCCCGCTCCTCATACCACGTGACTGACCTCGCTCCTCATACCACGTGACTGATCTCACTCATACCACGTGACTGAACTCGCTCCTCATACCACGTGACTGAACTCGCTCCTCATACCACGTGACCGACCTCATACCACGTGAATGATCTCACTCATACCACGAGACTGACTTCGCTCCTCATACCACGTGACTGATCTCGCTCCTCATACCACGTGACTGGCCTCGCTCCTCATACCACGTGATCGACCTCGCTCCTCATACCACGTGACCGACCTCGCTCCTCATACCACGTGACTGACCTCATACCACGTGACTGACCTAGCTTATACCACGTGACTGACCTCGCTCCTCATACCACGTGACTGACCTCGCTCCTCATACCACGTGGACTGATCTCGCTCCTCATACCACGTGACTGACCCCGCTCCTCATACCACGTGACTGACCTCGCTCCTCATACCACGTGACTCACCTCATACCACGTGACTGACCTCGCTCCTCATACCACGTGGACTGACCTCGCTCCTCATACCACGTGACTCACCTCATACCACGTGACTGACCTCGCTCCTCATACCACGTGACTGAACTCGCTCCTCATACCACGTGACTGACTCGCTCCTCATACCACGTGACTGACCTCATACCACGTGACTGACCTCGCTCCTCATACCACGTGACTGACCCCGCTCCTCATACCACGTGACTGACCCCGCTCCTCATACCACGCGACTGACCCCGGTCCTCATACCACGTGACTGACCTCATACCACGTGACTGACCTCGCTCCTCATACCACGTGACTGACCTCGCTCATACCACGTGACTGACCTCATACCACGCCTCACTCATACCACGTGACTGACCTCATACCACGTGACTGACCTCATACCACGTGACTGACCCCACTCCTCATACCACGTGACTGACCTAGATCCTCATACCACGTGACTGACCTCGCTCATACCACGTGACTGACCTCATACCACGTGACTGACCCCACTCCTCATACCACGTGACTGACCTAGCTCCTCATACCACGTGACTGACCTCGCTCATACCACGTGACTGACCTCATACCACGTGACGGATCTCGTGCTCCAGATGCTGGACATACGCTTTAGGGCGGGCAAGCTTTTCAGGTCCCATCGGCCTCAGAGTGCAATGCGCTCACCGCTTTGCTTATTCCGCTCCACACCATTGTATATATACACACAGTAAGAATAACAATAGCCGCATTTAATCGAAACGTGTTCGATGTTATATTTTGTTGTTGCTGTTTCCCTTCTCTGCATGAACTTATCTTCCTATTTTAACGGATTATATATACAATAGTGCCTTATCCAAGGCAAATAATTAACAGCGGTACAACAACATGTGAATGTAACGGTGCAGACGAGGTGAATGAAATAGATGAGGAAGCAATGGGGGGCCAATCTGTGATACGTGAATTCGGTGAAAGTGAAATTCCTGACAGTAAATGACGAATGAATTGCATGAATGAATGGGGTTAATGAGTGAAAAGCCGTGTAATGAGAATATGAAGATGGAACAGTGACGTAGTGGTTATGAGGGAGATATTAAGGGGTCGTGGGTCGAGCAAGGCAACAATGCGTGTGAGTTGTGAGGAGTGGGACCTTAGCGAGCGAATGCGGAGGGGGAGGGAACAGACAGAGAGAGAGACAGCAAAGATTGAGAACGTAGTTGAGCGAGAAGGCACATCAACTCTTTTCACAATGCGCTCACGATGTCTCCCAACCCACCCCTCTCCCGTAGAAATGAAGAGGACACGTTTAAAATATTGATTGCCACCGACATCCACCTGGGATACATGGAGAAGGATGCAGTGCGTGGCAATGACACGTTTGTGACGTTCGACGAAATCATGGAGATCGCGCGGTCAAAGGACGTACGTAAACCTCTCGGCTGTCACAGCTACTCGTGCCACAAACACACCCCGAATCCCCTCACAGGGCCGGAACACATTCCTGCGGAGGGAGCTGGTAGGAACGTTGGGTTGCTCGGTCAATGGCCAGGGTCAACGGCGGCGTGGTGTATTCCGCAAATATGGCCGATTGTGAGGGCGGGCACAAGCCGGCGTGAGTAGGTTAAACGTTGAGTTTTATAAGGGCACCACGGGGTGACCAGCCCCTCCCCACCCAGCCCCTCCCCACCCACATCCACCCCTCCCACCCCCCACCCAGCCCCACCCTCCCCACCCAGCCCCTCCCACCATCCCCACCCAGCCCTCCCCACCCTCCCCTCCCCACCCAGCCCCACCCTCCCCACCCTCCCCTTCCCACCCAGCCCCTCCCCACCCAGCCCCTCCCCACCCTCCCCTCCCCACCCAGCCCCTCCCCACGCTCCCCCACCCAGCCCCTCCCACCCTCCCCACCCAGCCCCTCCCCACCATCCCCACCCAGCCCCTCCCCCCCCTCCCCTTCCCACCCAGCCCCTCCTCACCCTCCCCACCCAGCCCCTCCCCACCCTCCCCTCTCCACCCAGCCCCTCCCCTCCCATTTTGGATGCACGACGGACGGACACAATAATCCCCTCTGGGCTGGTAGAACCAGGTGGTTCCCACCAGTATTAAGGTTCTTGTAGACCCTAGGCACTTGTTTTTCGCAGGCCTCCAGTGATACGTTTCGACAGCTGGTACTGCTGCTGCTGCTGCCCCATGTTACGACTACCGTCGCTGTTACTCGATTGTTTCACGCGTGCTTCGTCCGTAGGACAACAACGCCGCTTTATCTTCCTTTGCACCCTCAATTGAGAATGAGATAGTGCGAAAAATTCTATTTGAACATGTTTTTGCTAATTTTGCAATGAAAAAATAATGTTCATCTCCGGTGTTAATTTCTCTTACCTTATAAAAAAAACCGATTGACATGACTCTGCCTAAATTTTTATTTAAAGCTTTCGTGACTGCAGCGATTCATATTCTTGGTTCGTTCCATTTAATGGGCACGAGTCTTCTGCGCGGGAGCAGGAAAGTGTTATCACGTAGAGATCAGCGTAAAATGCTTATTTTTGTATTTTCCGTGATTTTTATATTATCCGCGGTCGCCCTCCCCTTCATTAGCGCGGATAATCGAAAGTCTACTGTACTCAAATTTGGACTAGAATTAATTGGTATTTAAAGGTTGTTTCGGTTATAAACCACCTCTTGAGTGTATAAGATTTGTGGAAAAGATGGTAAGAGCCCATTTGTACAGATACCGCCATGACTCTACCTCAAGTAACCTCAGTTACTTGAGGTACCAATATTATCCATAATATAGTTTTTTGTGGTTCAATTACGTAAATATAAATGTGTCGTTAAACCCGCCACCACCCGACACAGCCAATTACTAAGGTTTTTCACGTAATTGAAAACATGCCATTTCATTACTACTTCAGTACACCGTTGTGTTGGAGAGTACATTTACAATTCGAGTAAAACGTTTCGCCGGTGATTACAACCAGCCTCATAAGCCGACAGCCAGAGTTTTGGGGAAATCCTCTTTCGGTCTTAAGTGACCTCGCATTACATTTCAGAGTTGAGAAACGCCGAGTCGGGTCAACTGCATCAGAGGTCAAGAGCTCAGGCCTGGCACCGTTGAGATTCTGGGTTTCTGTCCAACATAGACATGTGATTAATAAGCGGTTCTCAAGCGTAGTGGAATGGATGGCAAGTTAAGTTTAAAAGTACAAATTGCACAGCATCAATCGTTACACTCTCAACAGGTACCCATTTACGGCTGAGTCGACCTTGAGAAAGGCCCAGGACCGGTTCTCCAATGCCATTTAAAAAAAAGTTCTTGATTTTGATCGAAGCTCTGATTCCAAGCTCAGAATTCATAAACCGAATTGATTGCCATTCCATTTGCACGGTGAAATAGGACTACCTACATATGCTGTTTTGTTGGCTGGGGAGAAAGCACACTTTGACTTTTAGAACCCTTTCATGCACCTCTGGAAGGCTCCCATATCAGGACCCTCAGGAGGCTAAGGTCATCGCAAATGACTGCTCACATTCACTGACTCTCCCGTCGCTTTGTGCTTGTGATGGTACCATTAGCAATTACGATTCAAAGCAGCCCCTGCAATGCATGGCTTGTAACTAAAACCAAAGAACAGAACGTGTGTGAGAGGAAGCCCACTGGGGGAGAATGAGACACGAAGCCGCACAGTGTTCATTCTCTCTCTCTCGAAGAGTAACCACACTTTACCCCACCACACGTGACCTACCAATTGACTACACTGGTTGTGTACCCATTTATATTGCTGAGGTTTTTAGTACTTTTATATCTCTCGGAGGAGAGATAGCGAACGGCTCGGAGATGACCGACGAGCGGCCAGAGACGAGCGGGAAAGGTAGCCGGGCGGTGAGCGGGCGCCAATTTCCCTGCCAGTTACTTACCCGGGGAAGCCCCATGAGTGCGTGTCCAAAGACTCTCTTAGGAGGGGGTCCTGCTTTGGGATGTTTAGTTGTTTGGCATGTGTTGTACCCCTGAGATAACGCCGACAGTGCTCCACTTTGTTGTCTCCTGGTCACCTTACAGCCCCGCGCCTACATCACATTACCAGGCGATCCACTGGTAGAAAGCCAGCCACCCATCCACAAATTAACCAGGCTCAAGCCTGCTTAGCTACCCTGATATTGGGGGGAACAGCCACATTTATGGTGATTGTGTCATACGCAAGTATTATTGAGTGAAAGCAAAAGAGGACTCGTTTTATTGTCCTCCCCGTGGTCGCGTGGATTTCTCTCCGGTTCCTCTTCATTTTCCCCTCCACGTTGAGAAACATCACGCGTTTAGAGCATTTGGCTGCGATAAATTTACACATGAAAAGCCACTTAATTGAGCTTTCATTTGTGGCCAGTTGCTTCTGAAAAAGAGCTATGTAGCTCAGTGGGGCCTTACCTGGGGAAATAAAAAGGGTAAAAAAATACAAGATATAATATTGATGCCAGGAAGAATTGAGTAGATGCCCCAACCATTTCCTTCCAGTTGTGAGTTTGACATTGGCTGGCTGAGTTCGAAAAGAAAAAGTACGCAATAAATATCTTCATCTGCTTTTTGATCAAACACTACGTGCGATCCATCGCAATGAACCTCGTCCGGAGACAGAAATGGGTCTCTTCCACAAAACGGAGCCACCGATTTTGTTTACTTCAACTAGGAACGCATGGCCCATTCACTCTACAACCGGTTCCAGTTACACAGTTTGGCAATAGTGATGTAAATTAATGGATAAGTACAAGAGAGAAGACATACAATTGCACGAGTGCTCGGAAATTACACCACCTTGCAGCTGCACATGGAGAGCAGCAATTTGGCTGATTTCCCAATTTTCCTGGCAAAAGACTTTTGCTATAATTTATTGGCTTTATAACGGCTGGACTCAAAATTCTTGAACGTTCAAAGTGCTCGAAGCCAGCGTGTGACGCCGATTTATATTTATTCCGTGTGCATAGCCCTGCAGTTTTGATTAGTTATTTATCATGATAAGTTATTGTTTCAGAACTAAAATACATTAATACAAGTACATTTAACAATGTCAGGCAAACTCCAGTGATTTTACATAGTATGTATGTTGAATGCCTTTCGCACTCTACGTAGCCAACCGTGCTAATCGTATGTGCGGGGAAACTGCTTAGATAAAGGTGCATCCCCGCAAGTTCTTGCTCATTCTGCTGCTGGCTGAAAGGGCCTCAATTATAGGGAACTTAAGATAGTCCCTCTAGATCAGGGGTTGGCAACCAAATTAACCATCAGAGCCATTTCTTTCGAGTTCGGAAAAAAATCGGGTTTTGATTCCTTACCCATACCCGTACCCGGCCGCACCAGGGTCGCAAACGGGTACCCGTACCCGGCCGGGTACGGGTTACCCGTACCCTACCTGATACCCGGCCGGGTATGGGTATGGGTAGGGTACGGGTATCGGGTACCCGATTGCAACCTCTGGGATGAAGCCATGTTGCAGGCGCGGGTGGGTTGATTCTAGGAACTTGAATTGTGAGAAGAGACAAGACGTTGGGAAATGAGTGACAAACGGTGACTCACCAGTGACTCACGGCCTACCCGTACCCGGCCGCACCAGGGTACGGGTAGCCGGGTATCGGGTAGGCTACGGGTATCGGGTACCCGATTGCGACCTCTGGCGTGCGGTTCTGGAGCTGTAGGTTGTCGACCCCTGTTCTAGAAGGTGTTTGACTTACTCTTCCACGCTTGCCAGATGTCTGTAAAGTAACTAGAGAAGTTACACTTTACCCCACCACACGTGACCTACCTTTCGACTAACTGTTGTGTACCCATTTCTATTGCTGAATTTTTTTTAATTATTATTTTTGCTTGTCCACCACTGGGTGGACAGTGGCAGAGGGATTTAATAAACTTAGCTCATTGTTTCAACTGACACGCCGCCGGGAGATCGAACCGGCAACTTCTTTCGTACCGTACAGAGCCAACCGCGATTATTGGAGGTGCGGGTAGGACACAACAAACTAAACACAAAAAGCAGTTCTAAAAAAAAATGTGTTTTCAATCTAGAGGATTGAAAAGTGGATTGGTCCGGTGGCTTCCTAATATCGGAAGGAAGAGCATTCCAGACGGCCGCATTATAATGCAAAATATACACAACTTTAACAACCCGATTTGAAACTTGTTGATTATCGCTGGGTAAAGGGAAAGGCCAGAGGGGATAAGCTATTCTATGCAAATGCATTCCCTGCTTGTGAAAACTGACAAATTTAAGCCATGGAGCTTGTTTTAGTTCTTTTCACTTTCAATGTGATCATTATACAAGTTAACTGCTTAAGGTATACCGTTGGAATCCTTAATTACCATTCTGAATTTGATTTGACTTGGCAGCTGCAAAATTGTGTTTGTGCCTCCGTTTCTGAGTCTGTCTGAAGTTGTTACACGGTGACAATTCTCTGCCTCTCATGGTTCCGAATCAAGATTATTTTTCTGGTGAATGCCTTTCCCTAGATGATGAGTGAATTATTGATGTTGTCTTGTCATATTTCTTTTGTTTTTTACATGCTTTGTAATGTTTGCAGATGAACTTTCATGAATAATATACTGGGTTTTTTTTTTCCGGGCCGTCAATATTATTAAGTCAGTGTATGGTTTCAGTGTGTGACACATTTTTCCAGAACCCTCCTGGTTCTTGTCAGATCTCGGAAGCTATGCATCATCGAGCCCGGATTCAGCATGTGGCCGCTGTGAATACCACGTTGTTGCAGGCTGCTCTGGAGCCGTGTGGTGTAGGGGCCAGAATAGCATTGTTCGACTGTACTTACGATGCTCCCACTTAGGAAGCCACTGGAGCTTATTAATAAATCCACTGGAGCTATGCACTTTTAAATCAAGATTGAAAACTGCCTTTTGCGTTTAGTTTGTTGTCCTTCCACCCACACCTTCGATTAGCACGTTGGCTACGTACGGTGCGAAAGAAGTTCAACATACATACATACATAGTCTTCTGTGCTTCCCACCATCACCCAGCAGCATCAACAGGTCCCCCCACTTTCTTTATCGGTGGGTCGCGTGTGGTGGGCTAAAGTGTGGGTACTGCCACCTCCAAGACGTGTGGCCGGCGTGAAAGAGTGGACAAAGGCACCCTCTAGAGGGGCTGTCTAGAGTTTATCTGAGTTATGGATTTTCGTACGCTGAACTTCTTTCATACACCATGTAGCCAACCGCGCTAATCAGAGGTGCGGGGCAAGGACAACACCTGCGGACAACAGTTCTGCCCGCAGTGGCACGAGCAAGCAGTTGCAGGGCTGCACCTCTATCACCTTTATCAACAGTGTCGTGTTGCCCGCAGGTGGACTTCGTGCTGCTCGGCGGAGACCTGTTCCACGAGAACAAGCCATCCCGCCGGGCGATGCACGCCTGCATGGAGACGCTGCGCAAGTACTGCATGGGCGACCGCCCCGTCACCTTCGAAGTGCTGAGCGACCAAGCGGTGAACTTCGGTGGGAGCAAGTACGCGGCGCAGACGTTGCATCGGCCGACATCGCACTTTTGTCCCTGGGCTCGTAAGCAGCGATTGGTGTCGCCTACTAAGGTGGACCCATCATCGTGACGACACAAATGTGACATCGGCCGAGATCACAGTTTTGTTCCTGGGCTCGTAAGCAGCGATTGGTGTCGCCTACTAAGGTGGACCCATCATCGTGACGACACAAATGTGACATCGGCCGAGATCAGAGTTTTGTCCTTGGGTCCGTAAGCAGCGTTTGGTATCGCCTACTAAGGTGGACCGATCATTGGGACCTCTGGTGCGGGGCGTGTTGGCCGCTTGACTATGTGGGGGGTTTTCGCGGTTCGGCTCCAGCAGGCCACCCCCGGTCGATGCTGCGGCTGTAACGGCTGTGGGATTTTTGAGCGCCGTTTTCTGTTTCAAGGTGGGACGTTGGGGCATATCACGACGTCCTTGGAGCAGGAGCGTGGCGGCGGTGACGGCGTGGTCCAAAGTTTTGCCAGGATTTAAACGTTTGCTTGAGACGGATTTAATTGGGAAATAAGAGGCACTTGTTCCTCCTTGTTTGCGGTGAAAAAAAACTTAGCAGGGCCCACCCAAAAACGAGCCTTGACACTCAGTCAGGTTTTCCGAGATAAATGAAGGGCATTGTTATTACTACTCAGTCGTGAGAACATTTGTCCTCCTGGAGGCTCAGCTGACTTTGGCAACTGCATTGCTTTAGGGGTCCGACAACCTCAGAGCAGAGCCGCCGCCCAAAGCCACCAATTTTAGGTGACGTTTCAAAGTGATTTCCTGCTCAAATTGATCATTGAGGTGGTGCTTATCTTCCGTTTCCAGGCTTAAGCCAGTGGTGGATATTCTGCATTCCTATAGCAGGGAAGAGCTTATCCATAGGACTGCTACCGTTGACCTGCTCACAAGGTGGTACTGTTTTTTTAATTCCTCCCCCGAGGATGATGGACTGAGTTAACCCCCAACCAGGTTTCTTATTTGCGTGCCTCCAATTGTGAGCCACTCTGCCTCCTACTCACTTTAGCGCCGAGCCTCCAGGCCAGTGATGATTATTCCCCTTTTTTTCTTTCCCCATTTCCTCGGATTTCAGATAACAAAGTTTTCTGGCAAAGTGCAGCATTCAACGGCAGCGCGCTTTCAATCATTTAAGCGTCGGTCTCCCCAGCGAGTGTGACGGGATTGGCCGCTGATTGTGGAGCGGAGCGGAACTATTTTCTCTCCGGTCCTCCTGAGCCCAGTTTTCTCCAGCGCCTGAGCACAGGAATGTCTCTTGTCAGCATCTCGCTGTCATCAGTTTACAAAAGATTTGGATTTTATTTTTACCGCACGATCCTGCTGTAGGGTTATTTATAGTTGCACATGAGTTGGACACTTATTGGTGCCAATGTCTTGCCACTTTCTTTGGCCCAAAGCAACGTCGGCACTTCCTGGCCAAGCACGTTGTGCTTTCACTACGTTGTCCCCACCTGAAGAATGACGCTTGTGTTGCGCCCGAAACGTCGTGATTTAATTCAGTTGTTTTCATTTATTTTATTAGATTTTTTTACCTACGTGACTTTACCAAAAAAACAAAGAGAATGCATTATTAATACCAATGCTTTTTAATCACTGGTATTACAGTGATTACGTTTATGGAATAGTCGTTGCGTTATTCGATGCCAGATTAACGTGGTGACACCATGAATAAATGCCGCCCCGACTGGACATCTGTGAAAACGAGCTTTATAGCTCATCGGATTCCTCCAGGATAAAAAAAAAAAGATTTCTGATTGTGAATATGTTCGCAGGGCCCTTGTGTAAAATCTCACAATCTGAAAGCAACTCTTTTATCAGAAACTGGGCCCACCCACTCATCACAGACAAGAGGAGTTAGACAGATGTGGTTGATGGTACACTTCAAGATTGGCTGATGACATTGATTTTGGTTTGGAAATATTCACCAAAAGATTGATTGGAATCACTTGGAGACTTTAAATGTGCAATTTAATTGAGGGACTTTATGTTGTTGTCTTGGTGTGGTCTGGGATTGTTCTTGCTGTTGTGCTGCTGCCTTGCCCAAGATTGGGAGTCGGTGTACTTGCGCAATTGGAAGTTATATACTTCATCTGTTTATCTTCTTTGTTCTTTCGGTAAAGTCACGTAGAAGGGAAATAATAAAATAATAATAAAACATAATAAAATTCAATTCTCACGACGTTTCGGTCACAACGCAAGCAGCCGTCCTCAGGTGAAGAACAGGGTTGTCGGAAAGACAGCGTCTGAATGAACACCGCCAAGCTTGGCAGCGTATATTTAAGCTGCTGGGTTAGAGGAGGAGGGAGCCTTGACAAAGGAATTTGCATATCAACAGGAATTTAGCATATTTTTGGAAAAGGCAGATATGGGATTAGTCACATCTTGTGAAATGTGTAGGTGATGGGGGGGGGGTCTCAAAGTCATATTATGCTCGTGTATTATGTTTTATTTTATTATTTCCCTTCTACGTGACTTTACCGAAAGAACCAAGAAGATGAGTCCCAAAAATTCATCTGTTTATTTTTAGTGATTTGCTTCCCTTTCCTATACTTTACACTGATCGTTTTTTGTATTGTTTTTTTGTTGTTGTAACATTCTGTCCTGTCCCTACTGTGACAAAGAGCTTTGTAGGTTATCAGATTTCTCTAGGATAAATAAAGATGCTGATGCTGACGTCAGGCAGCAGAGTAAACGTATATTTGCCAAAGACATATGGAAGTAACAAACAGGAGTCTTCAATGTATTCAAAGTAGCAAACGAAAAGACTGGAATTCTGGAAGGCAGCAGGCGTCTTCTATTCATGCTTGGATCATTGAAATAAGGTGGCCCAGAGATGCTGATGCATCTGCATAAGCTGAAAAAGATTGGGGAACAATTTTCAAGGTTCTGGGGAAGTATTTTATTCGCATACGCTTGCATTATTCAAGTGTACGGCTACCTCTAGGGAAATATGTTTACTAAGCCTCCCAGGAGAGGTGCTTACCAAAGATTTGTCCAGTAGGATCAATAAATAAATAAAAATCGCTGGCCTGGAAATGCAGTGGTTAACTGAAGCTTCATTTAAGTGTCAGGCAACTTACGAAGGTGATTTGCTAATAATATATATTTTCATAATATAGTATGATGGTACGAGTATAATGATATGATGGCATGAGAGCATGTCCCGTACATTTGCGTGGGATACACACCTGGGATGGAGGTGGAGGGTGGGGTGGGTGGAGGCCGTGACATCAGTGCGACGCACAAACCTGGCTTAGCGCTGTTGGACACAGATGACGCCATCACACAGACGTACGCAGTGACGTCACCATGCAGACGTACGTGGTGATGTCACCATGCAGACGTACGCGGTGACGTCACCATGCAGACGTGCGCGGTGACGTCACCATGCAGACGTACGCGGTGATGTCACCATGCAGACGTACGCGGTGATGTCACCACACACGCAAGGCGGGTGGTGACGTCACCATGCAGACGTACGCGGTGATGTCACCACACACGCAAGGCGGGTGGTGACGTCACCATGCAGACGTACGCGGTGACGTCACCATGCAGACGTACGCGATGATGTCACCATGCAGACTTACGCGGTGATGTCACCACACACGCACGGCGGGTGGTGACGTCACCACACGAACACTGGTGGGCACGGCACCCAGCCAGGCAAGAATGAATCCGCCCAGGTAGCCAGCCAGCCAGCAAACTTTTTTGTAATATAGTATGATAAGCATTTGTTTTCAAAATACGGACACTGTAAATGGGCACATTTTTGGTTAAGAAAGATGACTGTTGTAATGACTTATTCAGTTGTTACCAGCTTTTGCTGCTCCGAATGAACAAAAAAATCGAGTAAAAATTACGATTACCATTTGCTGAAAAAGCGATTTAATTGCGTTTGATTATGGAACATTCAAGACCGCGCTTGTTTCTCTCGTTTGTTGCAGGTTCCCTTGGGTCAACTATGCGGATCCAAACCTGAACATCTCCATCCCTGTGTTCAGTGTTCATGGGAATCATGATGACCCTACAGGGGTAAGACAGCGTCTTACGGAAATACGCGTGTGAATTTAAACGTACAGAACGAGCGTTATCAACCTCGTCACAAAACTTTTTGAAACCAGGTCATCCGAGGTTCCAAAAGATTCCATGTTGTTTCGTCGCATCTCAGTGGGTTTATTTCACCTCCTGGTTAAATGAAGGATTCAACAACAACAGCACCAAAAATTATCTCCCCACCCCCCCAACATAAAAAGTAAGCATCAAAATTAGCATCATCCGCACATTAATGCAGTCACCAAAGTTGTTTTCCAGAAAGATTGTGAATTTCATACAAACTCTGGCCTTAATTGTGCATTTTTTGCACAGTTGCGGACCACAAAGCCCAAAAGGTCCATCACATCAAACGGCCAGCAACAAGCGGCACTGTTGTGTAATAGATAGTTGAGTTGAGCAAGGTTATACGAAATTGGGAAAAGAGAGATCATGTTGAAAAATAGACATAATCTTTCGAGCGCTTTGAGCAAACTGTACGTCTTGCAGACGGGAACTTGAAAGTGACGATTTATACTAGCACGTGGATTACATCCGTTGAAGAGTCATTTTTCTTTCCTTAAGTATGCGCCGAGTGATGTATTGGCCGAGGAGTAAAACCTGGAACTTCCACCCTGTGGTCTTCATCATCATCAATCATCAATCATGGTCAGTCCACTGCTGGATGCAGTTGTCCCCAAGCTTTTGCCATTCAAATTTCGATTTAAAGCTTTCGTGACTGCAGGGATTCATCTTCTTGGTTCTTTCGGTAAAGTCACGTATAAGGAAAATAATAAAATAATAAAAATAAAACATAATAAAATAATTCTCACGACATCTTCATGTGGAGAACAGGTCTGTCGAGAGACAGAGTCTGATTATTTTCCTTCTACGTGACTTTACCGAAAGAACCAAGAAGATTTTGGCATTCACTCAAATGCCATAATGTAATGAACTACACAGCACCTGCACACCAGCTGATTTATCCTCTGTAGATAAATAAATAAATAGACCACAGCAATTTGAGAATCACTTCTGGACGAAGACGTTCCCACGCCATTCATCGGCCGGTCACTGATTTCGTTTGACAATGCTTCACCACGCTGGTCGTTGCGGGTTTGTGAATAGTCGGTGGTGGGGTGGTCGGGGCGCTGGACTGGTCCAGACTCGCTTGACGTTAGCCAATGTCACGAATCAAATCAGGTCGCCTAGGTTCATAACACCGTGTGCCCGCTGCTCTACCAAGTCTTATCCTACCGCTGTATCTTATCCCACGGGTAATCTGAGATTACCCACGGACCAATCTTTCACTTCGTTTTCCCCTCCGGGGGCAAGGGGGCCTTTGCTGGCTTTGCTGGCTTAACTGTTGTGCGTGGATGCCCCGGATAATACACTTTTTTGTTGTTGCTTTAACTTCATCAATCTCATCTGCGGGCTTGTGCAGGTGAGATCGGAGTTGGACAAAGTTTTTTCTATCAAAAAAAAAATCATCCATTACAACCTTTTCATCCACGGCTGTGTGTGTTTGTATTCACACCCTTACCGTTGACGGTGAATTTGTGTGGAATAGGAGGAGACTTTTCACAAATGAAAATATGGATTGCGAATTGAGCTCACCCTGCAGATACAATTGCCGCAGATAAAATGATGTTCGTTTGTCAACTCACTCTTGTCAGTCCACTGCTGGAATGAAGGGCCCTCCCTACGCCATGCGGGTTATGGCTTTAATATGTTTTTTAACCGATGCATTACCACACTGATCAAGTTCAATTGTCGAGTTGATTCTGTTAAACCAGGCTAGAACGCTTTAACAGACCAAGAGTCTCATTTGCAAGGTTGACCGGGGTCACCAAAATGTGACAATGCAAAGTTGGGGAAAGCACAGAGTGTCAGACGTGGTGGCATAGGGGTACAGTACCACCATTTATTTTGCTGCGTTGCCATCTGCTGCCACCACGTAGCCCGTCCGCTTACAACATGCTGCTGCACATGGTTGGTTACCCATCCCAAGTGCTATCCAGGCTCAACGCAGCTTAACTTCTGCGAACAGACTAATCTGGACGCATTGCTAACGAATCGAGCAAATGCCAGTTGGGGTTTATAATTAACATTTCGATTTAAAGCTTTCGTGACTGCAGGGATTCATCTTCTTGGTTCTTTCGGTAAAGTCACGTAGAAGGGAAATAATAAAATAATAAAAATAAAACAATAAAATAATTCTCACGATGTTTCGGCCACAACGCAAGCAGCCGTCCTCAGGTGAGCTAATCCTGCATAAAGCACGGGCATAATATGACTTTGAAAACCCCCCGCCCACCTCCTACGCATTTCACAAGTAGTGACTAATCCCATATCTACATTTCCCATAAATATGCAAAATTCCTCTTGATATGCAAATTCCTTTGTCAGGGCGCTCTTCCCCCTCCAACCCAGCTTAAATATACGCTTCCAAGCCTGGTGGTGTTCATTCAGACGCTGTCTTTCCGACAGACCTGTTCTTCACCTGAGGACGGCTGCTTACGTTGTGGCCGAAACGTCGTGAGAATTTTATCTTATTATGTTTTATTTTTATTATTTTATTATTTCTCTTCTACGTGACTTTACCGAAAGAACCAAGAAGATTTATAATTAACAGTTTAAACACAAATAAAGGGCAACGTTGATTTGCTGGGAGGCATAAGTAAAAAAAAAAGTATTATATTCACCCGCAGTGTTGTATTCTGGTGTTTGTTTGTTTATTCTCAAGGGCAGTGCACTTTGTTAATTGTCGCTGCACTGGGATAAACTCCCACAGTAATGATGCCCCCAAGGAGCTGCATGATGCTACGTTTGCATATCCCTCAATTGATTGTTTAAAAAAAAAACTTGTTCTCCGGCTAACCCTTACCTAGCCTCATGAGCAGCAATGAATTGCACACGCACACACACACAGCAAGCGCCAGACAGATATTGCTTGTGACGTAAGTAAATATTGGCGGTATCGCTGGAGTGTATGCCTCTGTGTCGCGCCATGTAGGCAGTGCTATTGCGTTAAAATCTCGGGTCAGGGGTTGATTTGGCTCCTCCATTCCTCCAGGGAGGATAATATGAGAGTGTCAAGATGTCAACAGTGGTTGTTCTAAAGAGCCTGGATCACTGCTGGATTTAGGCACCCCCTCCCCCACCCCATGCTCTTAAGCAAGCTAGTGCATTGCTTCGATTTCAGGTAAGAGGCCAACTTAAACAAGGAAGTGACATGGGCAGCTGGAAGGGATGATGACCAGTGGTCGAGACTAACAAAGTCGCAGCCAAAGGAGGGAATGCCTGCAGGGTGGCAGGGATGGAATTGGCACGTGGGCAGGAGCCCGATGGTTTGTTGCATCGCAAGACCGTCACACAGCAGTGGCTTGATCATGGCTGCTGATGATGAGACCGACTGATGGCAGCAGACCAACTGATGATAATCATAGCCTCGTGTTTAGCATGCACACCGAGTCATCGTTTATAATGGGCCACTTTTATTAAATTACCGATTTGTCTTCAGGACTGTTTGACTCCATTACTTGCAAAGAGTAGTGCACATTGTACCGCAGCTGAAATCCAGAAAGCAAAAATCCCGTACTTTATAATTGTCCATAACAGAATCCTGCATAAGTGTCGCTCGTGCGTTCAGTGCTGCAAAATGATTACCGGCGCAGCCTGGTATGAATCTTTGCTGCTGTTAGAATTTAACTTCGATTGTGCGATCGGTGGCGCAGAGATCAGAGCCCTGAGCTTGCACCATTAAGTTTCGAATCCAGGTTTCGGCCGCCTGTGATTAAGCCGGGTTCTCAAGGGTAGCAAGTGGATGGTGTCTGCCCAATCACCAATAACTGCACAAAAGCCATCACGTTACATGTGGTTCTATACTTAAGTTAGCGAAGGTCCAGGTCTGAAAATGTTAATATTGGTTTGACGGTCATGCGACAAACAGTACAATGATGTGGCAGAGTGGGTTGGGAAAGCGCTGCCCTCAACTCTGTGTGTACCAAAGGTTCACTTGAAGGGGTCTCGGAGGCATCCACGTGATATCCCATTGCCGTCAGTCGTTGCCTAAGACGAAGGGTTTCTCTTCTCTGCGTGAAATCTGGGTGGATTCTTTGCTTGGTGACACGACACCGAAAGCAGAATCGAAATCAACTTGGGACGGAAAATGACAAGAGCTTCACATAGCAGCATCACGTGGTCTCTGCTTGTGTTCAGGCGGAAGGGCTGTGTGCGTTGGACCTACTCAGCTGTTCCGGACTCATCAACCACTTTGGCCGGGCGACGTCCTTAGAGAAGATTGAGATCAGCCCCATCTTGCTGCAGAAAGGCTCCACCAAACTGGCTCTCTTTGGATTGGGTAAATGCACACGGCATGTACACATTGATAATCAGAATGGTATCTACGGTAGGCTCTCGATTATCCGCGCTAATGATGCAACGGATAGCTGCGGAAAATTCTCAATCGCGGAAAATCCCAAAATGTAACTATTTTCCGCAGATCTCTGTGCCAAAAACCACTCATCGGTATCAATTAAAACTCACAAAGTAAATGATCGGATAAATTACTAAAAATTAAGCACAACTGACGATTAAACCGCACGCAGATAATCTAGGATTGAAGCTTTCGTGACTGCAGAAGTTATACTCATTGGTTTCTTCAGTAAAGTCACGTATGTAGAAATAAAATAAAATTTTAATAGATAAAATTAATATTCTTGGTTCTTTCGGTAAAGTCACGTAGAAGGGATATTAATATTATTTTATTATTTCCATTTTACGTGACTTTACCGAAGGAACCAAGAATATGAATCCTTGCAGTCACGAAAGCTTTAAATCAAAAGATAAAATTTAATTAAAATAAATCACGACGTTTCGAATGCAGCACAAGCGCTTGTGTTGCGTTCGAAACGTCGTGATTTATTGTAATTTAATTTAAATTGTATTTCTACATACGTGACCGCACGCAGATAATTGAGAGTCTACTGTATTTGTGTTTCGATAATCTGCTCTCCTTATGCTGAGGAGTCTCCAAGCACTTGACACGCGATGAGTGACACGGCTCATGGTTGGGTGACTTGTGGGGGTGGTGGTAATCGGTGTTGTACTGTACTTTATATGGTCCACTGCTATGCTCCCAAAATTCGCCAAGCCATTCCAACACAATGCGTTTTAAGTGTGGTCAAATAACCCCCATGACCCGCGTGGCAAGGGAAGGCCCTAAGCCAGCTGTGAATTGTAAACAAGGCCGCACAATGTGCACACGTGCAACATGCACACGCGTGTACGCGCCGGAGGTGTGCAAAGCTATAAACGATGCACCGTTGCATCCTCCAATTTTCTCTTTCAAGAGCCGCGATTGTAAATGAGATGCGGTTGCCATTTAGACGATTTATAAATTCAATATTACGTGATATAAACGGACGCATTTGCAATTGAATAACCCCTGAAATAAATGGTAATGAATTGCGATTTCTCCAAATAATCTCTGCACTTTGTTTTGAGTCCCGCTATTGATGTGGCTCATTATTTTTTGTGTACTTCGGCTGAATACGTAGCGTGTACCTGCTGTTCTTTGGGGAATAATGTATTCCGCGCAGTTAAACATAACCATTTTGAATAAATGCTTTACTCTGCCACCACTTAGGGAAGTATATACACATGAATCCAAATGTCTGGCTGACATATAGCTCGAGTGAAGGTTTAAAGGGTAAAGGCTTGTCGATAAAAACTGCATTTCGATTTAAAGCTTTCGTGACTGCAGGGATTCATCTTCTTGGTTCTTTCGGTAAAGTCACGTAGAAGGGAAGTAATAAAATAATAAAAATAAAACATAATAAAATAATTCTCATGACGTTTCGGCCACAACACAAGTAGGACGGCTATCCCTGCAGTCACGAAAGCTTTAAATCGAAATGCAGTTTTTATCGACAACACAAGTAGGACGTCTACTTGTGTTGTGGCCGAAATGTCGTGAGAATTATTTTATTATGTTTTATTTTTATTATTTTATTACTTCCCTTCTACGTGACTTTACCGAAAGAACCAAGAAGAAAAAAACTGCATTGTGAGATGATTGTCGTAAAAAGCATGCGGTTACTGTTGACAGAAACCCAAGCCCTTTGTGCAAAATTTTCCAGGTGTCTCATCTGGTTTGAACTTGAATCTTGAATTTGTTTGAGCTGTACCAATGCACCTTTTACAATTGTAATTTTCTTAGATGCTCCCAACCGCAATTGAAGTCCATGCCACATATTTTTCTTCCAATATAATTGTGATATATTTATGATGGAAAAGTAGGTTCAATTCATTCGTAATAAAAAGAAGAGAGAGCGATTTTATTGGTTCAGCATTCCTGAGTCGTCGTTATCAAAGCTGTCAAGAGTAAGACCGGGGTGTGGGCTTATTGGAGTACTTTAGGCATTTAAGCAGACAACGCCTAAAAGCCAAAGTGATTTCCGGCTCAAATGTCTACCGAGGCATTGATGCTCCTCTCCTGTATGCAGCCCTGAGCCAGCGGTGGAAATTCCACGTTCCCATGACGAGGGCGAGTTTTACCATAGGACAACCGTTGTTGCATTCCTCGCAAACTCGAACTCGTTTTTATCGACCTCAGCCATGATGGGCCTGAGTCAACCCTCCATCCAGAAATCCGATTGCCTCAGGATTACTGGAAGCCAATTCTAACATGTCGATGTTTCCAGCCTGCGCGATCTCTGTTTTGTCTGTTTTCTCATCACTTATAGAGAGTTACAAGTCAGTGATTGTTGCAATTGGGCACAAATGAATGTTCCCAGCCGGTACATACTTTATCTCCTGTTCAACTTCCCATCACTTACTGAAAGTGATGGAATTGCAAAGAAACCACAGTTTTCAGCCTTCACACATTTGTCCATCTGACGATATGATAACCATTTTCAGAAAGCATTAGAATTGGTTAGAGATGAGCTCATGGTGTCTTTGATGATGTACCTGCACAGCAGCGCTTCTCAACCTGTTTCATTCCATGGCACACTTTCGAGCATGTCCAATCTTCGCATCACACCGAGTCAAAAAAAAACTATCGCAACTTTCTGTGCTATTACTCTGCCGTGAATAAATGAATGACTTGATGAATTATACAGAATGGGATGAGAACGTTTCATGGGCAATCTTGATTTGAAGCTTTCGCGACTGCAGGAATCCATACTCTTTGGTTCTTTCGGTAAAGTTACTTAGATAGTAAATTAATAGATCACGATGTTTTGATCTTAACACTAGCAATCGTCATCAGGTGGGACAAACACAGACAGCAGGAGAACTGCTGATGATGGTTGCTTGTGTTGCGATCGAAACGTCGTTTCATGGGCATTCAATAATTTCATGTTGCTTTTATTTGTATAAATCTGTCTTTTCACCTTATTCTGAAAATATATATTTTGCTGCCTTATCCAATTTACCCCTTTCTCCTCCCCACACCCACCACAACCCTTTAAACTCACTTGGCAATTTCCTCAAACCTGCCTCTTTTTTTCCCCTGACCACCTGTATATTTCCCAAGATCCTAAGTTTTTCCCTATTATTTTTGTCTGTCTTTCTTTTCGGATTGTCCTCAAAAAAATTATTCTCTCTTTCTTTCTCTTCACCTCTCACACCTCCACCGCGACCATTTTATTTCTCCTGCGTCTCGTAAATGTTTTGTTCTATGTTCACCGAAGCATCCGTGCGTTGTCCAATCTCCTTAGTTTTATCTCTATTCCTTTTGCATGTCTGCCTGTCACTTTTTACCCTGGCCTGCGAATGTATTTTGCTGTCAAGCTCATTCACGGTCCTGGCCTTCCCTCTGCTCGCCTTCCATACAACAACTTCGAAGAAGCTTGACCCAATTTATCATTCGACCTTAAGATTTGCATTGAACTGCCCATTTCGGACCCACCACTGCGATCTCTACATTGGGTCAAACTTACCATCTCTTAATGATCGACGGCTTGTGCATCAGATCTTATTTATTCACGATGTACTTACAAAAAATCAGCAGGCTACCCGCTGGATCTCCTCACTGTTTAGAAGAACAAATGTAACCTAAAGTCCTCACTCATTTATCAGCTTCACATTCCTTATTGCCGTAGAAATACTGGAGGAAGGGCCTTTGCTGTTGATGCCCCAAGGGTCTGGAATGCTGTCGCCAATAAACTGAAACTTGGATCACTACCTGTGAGATCTGTACTCAAAACTGCTCTTGAGGCGCTATACCTAATAAATAAACTTAAAATTAAACTAAATAAACTTGACGGTGACATTTTTCAACTCGTAATAAAAGTTATATTTGCTTAGATCGTGTGAATATAAATGCGTCATTAACCCACCACCACTCGCGACCTAACACAAAATAACTTTCATTATGAATAATATCGGTCGCGAAAACTTACGTGCTTTTTCACCATCCCACCTTCGTGTCGCCGACATCCGACTCCTCTTCCGAACCCCCCCCCCCCCCCCCCCCGTGTCTTGGCTCAGGTTCCATTCCAACTAAATAAACTTGACGGTGACATTTTTCATCTCATAATAAAAGTTATATTGGCTTAGATCGTGTGAATATAAATGCGTCATTAACCCACCACCACTCGCGATCTAACACAAAATAACTTTCATTATGAATAATATCGGTCGCGAAAACTTACGTGCTTTTTCACCATCCCACCTTCGTGTCGCCGACATCCGACTCCTCTCTCGAACCCCCCGCCCCCCCGCTGCGTCCTGGCCCAGGTTCCATTCGTGACGAGCGGCTCCACCGCATGTTCGTCAAGGGCGACGTGCTGATGCTGCGGCCCAAGGAAGACAAGGATGAGTGGTTCAACCTTTTCGTCATTCACCAGAACAGGTGACGTTGACCGCCGAGCTATTTGAGCTTTTTTTCTTGATCTGCTCCGCCTCTTAAGTTGAGTCGAGTTTGTTTTGTTTGACACCAGAGGCCAGGGTGAGTTTCATTTGCAATTGTGACCTGGGGTTTTTGTCATGCCAGTAGGCGATCATCGCCCCCCTCCTGACAGACTCATGCCCCAGGTGATTCTTGCAATTGAGACTTTCCTGGTCTCTTCTTGGCATCCTCACCTGGGTAAATAAAATGTATGTATGTTGGAGTTGACACCTTTTGCAAGGAATCATGCTTACATTAACCACAATACTTGCAGTCAAATGCAAACAAAAAACAATACTCTGATCATTTATGCATTGTCTTTTGAAACTGATTGGTCCACACCAGAGACAGCTTTCTTTAGAGCCTGATCTCATATGGTGTTCGACCAGATGACGCAAGTATTGTGGTTAATGTAAGCATGATTCCTTGCAAAAGGTGTCAGTTTTGTTGCCAGAAAAAAGGGGAAAAACCCTATTAGTATATTTTGGTACAGGCAAAGGAGGTCCCATGATGTAGCTGCTCACCCAGAGCTCTCATTACTCTGGTAGTGCGTTGTCTTTGAACTGTGCGCCTTTTGGCGTCATCTGGTCGAACACCATATGAGACGAGGCTCTAAAGAAAGCTGTCTCTGGTGTGGACCAATCAGTTTCAAAGACAATGCATAAATGATCAGAGTATTGTTTTTTGTTTGCATTTGACTGCAAGTATTGTGGTTAATGTAAGCATGATTCCTTGGAAAAGGTGTCAGTTTTGTTGCCAGAAAAAAGGGGAAAAACCCTATTAGTATATTTTGGTACTGGCAAAGGAGGTCCCATGATGTGTTGGAGTTCTTTCACACCTTATGTAGCCAACCGTGATGATCAAACTTGAAATTACTACACGGATCACCGGGTAAAACATGTTACCTTGTTCGGCAACAACTACACAACATAGCGTCACGCATCTACATCTGAGACACTTTATTGCAATGCGACTTTGTCAATCCTCGGGCGCCTCCATGAAGCGCCATACAATTACATGAATGCTTACGCCAAACTTGACCATTTAAGGAGTGTGTCCAGCAGCTGAACAAAACTTAAACGAAACAGGAGAATAAAATATCGAAATTACAGGAGAAATGGGGAGAATAAAAAATTAACCCGTAAAAACAAAGTTTTTCACTATAAATCCTTTATATGCGTGGCGGCTAGAGTCCTCTCGTCCTCTGGCTTGAGATGGCTGCCACCTATGGGTCAGATGATTGCCTGCCACCATTAAGCAATTGGTAATTAAATATAATTTATTTTTTCCTAAAATGTTGAAAATTTTGGAAGAAAATTTTCACGAAAATAAATTGTCACGCACAACGAGTCTGTGTGCAAAATGTCAGCTCGATTGGATCACGGGAAGTGGGTTAAAAAACGACCGAAAGATTTGCACGGTCGTAAGCGCGCAAGCAAGCAAGCAAGTGAACTTAATATAAAGGATTTAAAAAGATGTAAGAGCCGCGTCGCGACTTCAGTAAAAAATGCATTTGGTATCGGACGGAAGGGTATGTATTTTTTAAAATATACTACATCCTCTGCTGAGCGCTTGTATAAATCTATGTCGGTGAGTACTTCAGAGGACGTTGGACCAAACCTTGGGATTTAAACTCACGGTGGCTGGTTCAGCCCGGAGTTGTAAGCATGCTCATCATCATGGCAATTTTTCTGTGGTCGGAAATATGATTTCTTACACAGCCTTCATGGAGATTTGTGCAGGAAATCGCCTTAAGTGCAGCAAAGATTAAAAAGCCGGTGGCGTCGTGATCATATGCAAGAGTAGATAATTTCGTGGGTTTTTTTTTAAATAACCAAAACATGTGAAATTTGCCAAATTACCAGCAGTGTCTCTAGATGGCTATAGATTTGCTCCAAACCCGTGTTTATTCTAAACGTGGAGGGGAAAACCAGAGGACTGTGCAACCACGGGGAGAGACACATGCAAATATCCAGCAGCAGGTGTCAGGGTCGGTTTCGAACCCACGACCTCCTGTATACCAGGCGAGGGAGTTAACATCTCCATTGAGTGATTGACACAGAGCGTCTTCGCTATTCACCCACCTCGCTCCATGCATCTCATTGCGATGCTCTCTCAAGACATGAGTAATGAGGTGAGATAATTTGACAAAAAATTAAATCACGTTTACTCTTGGGTGATTTAAAGTTGAAAGCTGCCGTAATAATCTCTTTATATAGGATTCAATTTTAGACTTTCTGAAGGACTGATATGGTGATATTACGGTGTTATGAAATGACTTTTGTATATGGGATGAGTGGCATTATTTGTTCCTCTTTTAACCTGTATATCCAACATTAAACTTATGGGCCACTGCCAGTTATACTAAAGTAAATCTCAACACTATTATATTCGTATTTTTAACTATGGTGGGAATTCATATGATTAGTATTACATTTTGGGCCAGTAAATGTTCTCATGTTAATGCAATGTTTTTTCATGTGTAGCTGTTTTCCAATCCACTGCTGGATGAGGGCCTCCCCACACCATGCAAATTGTGGTGGTTATATGATCATATTTCCATTTAAAGCTTTCGTGACTGCAGGGATTCATCTTCTTGGTTCTTTCGGTAAAGTCACGTAGAATGGAAATAATAAAATAATAAAAATAAAACATAATAAAATAATTCTCACGACATTTCGGCCACAACGCAAGCAGCCGTCCTCAGGTGAAGAACAGGTCTGTCAGACGCTGTCTTTCTGACAGACCTGTTCTTCACCTGAGGATGGCTGCTTGCGTTGTGGCCGAAACGTCGTGAGAATTATTTTATGATGTTTTATTTTTATTATTTTATTATTTCCATTCTACATGACTTTACCGAAAGAACCAAGAAGATATATGACCATACTTCACCAAACTGGTCAGCGCGAGTTGGTAACAGCTGAGACCATATACATGGAGTCATAGATTACAGAACAGCAATGGACTTTGCTGCAATGCCATCTACTAATGAACTCTGCCGCAGCCTATAACACCTGTTTGATGCATTGGATGGTGTTGACCCCATCGAAGCATTTGCCAGGCACAACAGGGCTTAGTTTCTGAGGTCTTAAGAGGTTGTGCCATCTGTCATTGTGCCCCATTGCATTCTGATTGTGAGCGCTTTTTTTTCAAGGATTGTAATGGCAACGAATTAGAATGCAAGCACAGCCCTCTTACTCTGCGTACACAGGAGTTCAAGAGCTCTTGCAGGATCTCAGCAAGTCGATAATTAACAGATGTGATGGAGCAAAGACAAACAACCTTTGATAGCCTTTCATCGACTGTTCTGCCAGGTACTCATTTAAGGCTAAGTTGGGATAGGGGAGGGCCCAGGACCGGTTGAAATATTCACCACTTGTTATTGGTCGTGTGCGGGAATCGTAATTCGGGTCGCCAGGTTCGTAGCACATTGCACAAAACCGCTGAGCCACTGCTCCCCATAACGTGAAATATCGTACACACATGCAATCAAACACTTTGCAGGCGGATGGCATGCATTTGTGAAACTCCATAATCGGCTGGGTTGTGAATTGGCCAGGCGATAGTAGCACAGACAGTAGGTTTTTGAATCCTCTGCTGAGCTCCGAGTGTTATTCTCTCGTACGTGTGGTGCATCTCTTGCGGGTTTCTTGCCACGTGGATTCAAACACTGCTTCATGAAATTGGATAAGCATCGCAAAAATGCAACTCCACCATCCTTAAAACGAGTCTGTGGGATCCATTGAGACTTCCATCGGTAATTACCTGGCATTATTATCGGTAATTGCAAGCAAGAACATGCACATCAACATAAACCCACACACAATTGATCGTATATTTAATTGTCCCGTTATGTTGTGTACTTTCAATTAAGGTTGCCTATCTGCCCACATGGCAGCTGACAATGATGCCCTGGTTCAGCTGTTCTGGGCAGGCTGACATTGCCGTGCGCGGGGGAAGTGAACGGGTTTGGGAAAATAGGTAGGTAGGTTCACTTGGGAGGGGGGGCGGGCGGGGGGATTTGTTCGAGTGTGCAATATTGACTTTGTGAAAAATCTTGCACGTACATATGTTGAACTTCTTTCGCACTGTACGTACCCGAGCATGCTAACTGGAGGTTGCGAGGGAAGGACAACAAACTAAACACAAAAAGCAGTTTTAAATAATAAGTTTTAAATCTAGATTTAAAAGTGCATAGCTCCAGTGGCTTCCTAATATCCGAAGAAAGAGCGTTCCAGACGGCTGCGGAAACGCATCCGAAAGTGCTTGATGCAGTGTAAATAGAGCAACAACTATAATTTGACATTGAGACGGTTGATTCAGACGATGGCGTCAGGCGTAGCGGAGTGTATCTCTGTGATGATTCCCCTCCCTCCTTCGTGTTTGAACCGGGCATGGAGTCGTTATTTGTTGCACAGTCTGTTCCGCAATGGAGAGTTACAAATATTCCATGTGTGCATCAAATGGAATATTTTGTGCATCAAATGGAATATTTGTGTGCGAATATGGCTTAGGGGTTCTGGCCCCAACAGCAAGAGATCTTCTACCTCTGGATCTTGGTCGAGTTGTTTGCCAGTTCTTGTGGAGATCGAGGTTCGTGCGTAAAAGGGCACCATCGGTAGATCTTAAAGACCACTAAGGATCCCGTACGATTGAATTAGCTACTGAATATAAAGTGACTCTAGGCCTCGTTAAGGCCTCAAATGCGAGCAACGTGCTATAATTTCCACTCGTCTAGAGACACGAAGCCAACGCGTATGACGCGGTAACATATAATCAATGTCTAAATTATATACCATGTTCTCCAGACTTTAAGATGCTCTTGAAATTAAGACGCACCCCCAAAACGTCTGCCCGATGTCGAAAAAGCTTTACGCAACTGGATTGTGAGATGCACCCCCAAACTTTTTGCCTCTAAGGTACAAGATGAAAACAACGTGTGTTTTGTATTTTAGAAAATAACG